CTCAGTAAAATTGGCATAGAAGGACCGTTTCTCAGCATAATAAAAGCCATTTATGAAAAACCTGCAGCTAAAATTATACTGAATGGGGAAAAGCTGAAGGCTATTCCACTAAAAATGGGTACAAGACAAGACTGCCCACTTTCTCCACTCTTATTCATATAGTATTGGAAGTTCTAGCCATTGTGATCAGATGAGAGAGGAAATGAAGGAAAGAATAGCTGAAATTTTCTCTGTTTGCAGATGACATGATTGTATACATAGAAGCCCCAATAATATCCATAAAAAAGTCTTCTCAAAGTAATAAATGCATACAGTAAAGTGGCAGGATACAAAAATTAAGTTACAAAAATCTATAACATTTCTACATACAAGCAACAAGCAGACAGAGACAGAACTGAAGAATGTAATTTTATTTACAATAGCCACAAGAAGTATAAAATGCTTAGGAATTAAACTAACCAAGGAAGTCAAGACCTCTACTATGAAAACCTTAAAAAGGAAATTGAAAAGGACACTAAAAAGTGAAAGGACATCCCATGTTCCTGGATTGGCAGAACCAATATAATAAAAATGGCAATCCTACCCAAATTAATCTGCATGTTTAATGCAATCCCTATAAAATTACAAGAGATATTCTTCACAGATCTAGAAAAGACAATCATAAAATTTGTCTGGAACCATAAAAAAAAAACATTTTGCTAAAGCCATCTTGTGCAAGAAGACTGGAGTAGGTGGCATTTCACTTTCTAACCCCAAAATACATTAAAAGCTGTGATAATCAATACAGCATGGTATTGGCACAAAAATAGACATGAGGAACAATGGAATTGAGTAGAGACTCCAGAAATAAATGCCAAAACACACAGCCAACTCATCTTTGACAAAGAGTACCAGTCAACCTAGTGGGAAAAGGGAAACCTCTTTAGCAAATGGTGCTGGAAAAACTGGGTATCCACCTGCAGAAAGATGAATCTGAACCCCTATCTGTCACCATTAACAAAAATCAACTCAAAGTGGATCAAAGATCTAAACCTAAGACCACAAACTATCAAACTACCGGTGGAAACCACTAGGGAAACTCTGGGAGACATTGGGATAGGTAAAGACTTCTTAAGCAAGACTCCCAAAGCACAGGCAATAATCCCCCAAATAGACAGGTGGGATTACATAAGATTAAGGAGTTTCTGCACAGCGAAGGACACTGTAATTAGTGTGAATCGATAATACTCAGAATGGGAGAGAATTTTTGTTAACCGTGCCTCAGATAAGGGACTGATAACCAGAGTACACAGGGAACTCAAGCAGTTTACCTGAAAGAAAATGATTAACCCAATTAAAAGATGGGAAATGAACTGAATAAACAATTCTCTAAAGAAGACATACAAACAGCCAAAAAGCATATGAAAAAATGTTCAACATCCCTCATTGTAAGGGAGATGCAGATCAAACACAATGAGATACCACCTAACCCTAGTCAGAATGGCGAAGATTTAAAAAACAAATAATGATAAGTGCTGGAGGAGATGTGGTGAAAGGGGAACACTCCTACACTGTTGGTGGGAATGTAAATTGGTCCAGCCACTGTGGAGAACAATATGGAGATTCCTCAAAGACCTTCAAATAGAACTACCATATGATCCAGCAATTCCACTCCTGGGTGTCTCCCCAAAGGACAGGAGAATACTTAGTCAGAAAAGTGCTTGCACAACTATTTTCATTGCAGCATTATTCACAATTGCTAAGACATGGAACCAACCCAAATGTCCATAAACAGATAAATGGATTGAGAAATTGTGGCACATATACTTCATGGAATACTATTCAGCCATAAAAAGCAACAAGGCCCTGGAACTTGATAGAAAGTGGACGAATATGGAAGATTTGTTGCTGAGTGAAGCAAGTCAGGCTATGAAAGACATTGTATGTCTCCACATAACATATACTGATTGTCCGCACTTTACGGTAGAGACTGAAAGACTGGAGAACATAAAAGTATTAAAAATTATAATGGACACTAGAGACAAAGTGGAAAGAGAGTATGGGAGGGGAATAGTGAAGGAAATGTGGGGGGGGGAATGGAGAGGGAAGACACTTGTGGTATAGAGATGGAGTTTATTATCTGTTGACAAGGATATGTGTGGTGGGCTGGACTCAGGTGTGTATCATGCTGGGTAGGGTCTCTTCTCAATCTAAGCGATGTATAGCAATTTAATGTATGGTAATAATAATAATAAAATGAATATAAATTGTCCTCCTGGGACTTCTTTGATCAGTGAATATATGAATACACCCTTTTCTGAAAAAAAATTATTTTTACTTAAAAATTATTTTATTTTTATTATTCTTTTTAAGTTTATCATTACTATTATTATTATTACTATTATTATTATTATATATAGTTATACATTTGGTTGCTTTGCATCATTTGGATTGTGGGGAAACTTTATTCAGCATGATGTACACCTAGGTTGTGCTTAGTTGAGAATACTATACATTTCATTGTCTACAGGTAATGAACCATATCTGTGATCCATGAAATAAAATAAAATACATTTTGAAAAAAATGTTAAAAAGAAAGAAATTTTTTTTTAAATTTTGGTTTCCATGTTTTTAAAAGTAAATAATTTTTTTTTTTGGAGAGGTTTTCGCTATATGGCACATGCGTTTGCCAGACAGACAGAGACAGACAGAGAGACAGAAAGTGAGAAATCACCCCCCAGGGGCGATAGCCACGCCGCAATCCCTTCTCCTCCATTCTCCTCTCGGGATCTTGGGCACGCATGCACATGTGCCCAGTGTGAGTTTTAAGCCACTGGGTCCGGGATGTGAACCGCGGTTGACTACGTGGGAGTCCAGCGACATAGCCATTACGCTAACTGCTGGTTCCCAATATTTTGAACTTTTTCACTTGCCTCAAAATTTCTGGAACTTATCTAATATTCATGCATTAATTTATTAATATGTTAGTTATAATTTATATATTTTCTAATATTAAACCTTTTTTTCTGTATTTCTTCCATTTTCACAGTATATAACATGGATTTAGAAGTTGGGTTTTCAAATTAGAGAAACACATGATCTTAGTGAAGAACTGAAATATTGATTTTCATTTATATAAACTGCCAACAATATTTGTATCTATCTTTTAGGATGATTTTGAAAATTAACTGCGGTGGTACAAATACAAACAACTCAAGCACTTTTCCAGTAATAGCTATTATTTTTCTTTATAAATATATAAACTAATTGATTTGTCAACTTTATTTTTAATTTTGTAACTGTTTTTATTTAAGAGGTTACTATATTTTACATATGTGTATATTATCTTTCTTCAGAATTTTTAATTATGTATTTTTTTCTTCTACATTTTCAGATTTTTGCCTTCAGGATAATGCTAGTTTTCTAAACTGAGTTGGGAAAATTCGTAGATGTTTCAGCTTTGTGTAACAGTTAATGCAGCATAGAAAACATGGACAGCTATCCTGCCCCGGCACTTCACTTGGAAGAAAATCTGCAATGATTTTTTATCACTTTCACTCATTGTTAATTAATCTCTTTAGTTTTCTAAGCTCTTCTCTGTGTTCATTTCAAATTTTGAGACGATAATAACTTGGTTACTTTTTCTTCATACATTTATAGAAAATATCATTTCTTCAATGGACTTTCTCATCTTGTACTTTAAATCACCCTCATCTTAGCGCTGTTCTCCGCATAGTCCTGCTCACTTACCTTGATTTTCAATCAGGTTCCCAGATCTAATTAAAACCCAACTGCACAGTTTTACAGCTGTTAGAAAACCTATAGAAATAAAAAATCTTTCTCACGTTCCTCACCCTAGTGAAAATGACTATATTACTACAGCACGTAGAGGATGCGGTGTGCCCTAAAGCTCAGCCTAACAAGGACTACTATATAAGAGGTTTCCCTGAGTCCTCAGGCCTAGATGTAGCTTCTTAACTCTTCAGGCTGTCTAGTTTTCTGACTGCAGGTACTCTGACCAAGGTAACGTCTGAGACATGCATAAGGGCTCCTGCATTTTGGAGCAATCTGGAGCTGAACCCTTCACTTCAAACCAGGGACTGTACACTAGAATTTGATATAATGAGCTAAATCTAAATACACTAGAAGTAAACCACACTAGTACTAAAGTATAGCCACTCTATTTATTTGCAAATATTGTAATGATAACAAACTGCAAAGATTTTTACATCTTTTTTGAGTTCACAGTACCAAACTGATGTTGCTTTATAGCAAGCTATGGGCAGAGACATTGCTGCTCATCAATATCTAAGTCAAATTCTCAGATTAACCTCCAAGGTAAGGCTAGAGTCTGAATCAAATATAGATCTTATGGCTACTAGTTAATTTCTCTTCTCATTGTGTCCTGCTTGCTTTTGATGATATCCCATGGTTTTTGTACCATAATGAAGTTTAGCTTCTGACACAGATGAACTGAATCCCCACGTGGAAATAAGCGACTCAAAGCAGTGAATGGGGTAAAAATGTTTTCAAAACCTTTTCTTCCCTTAGGAGTTTTGCAGTATCAGTGAGGTTTAAATATAAGTATTTTTTTGTACTTTTCATGAGGGTAGAATAAAAAGACTTTAGGAGGCAGGTGGGTGCTGTGATAGTTAAGGGTGCTGGACTCAAACATGGCCGATTGAAGTTCAATTTCCAGACCTGGTAGCTTACTCGTGTGTGTGTGTGTGTGTGTGTGTGTGTGTGTGTTTGTGTGTTTCCCTTTCTGTTAATTAAAATAAATAAACAAATAAATGAAGTTAAATAAAAGAATTTTTAAAAAGACTATATGGAATCTTGGGCAATGTCTTCCAATAGAGTGTACTGAAATTAATTGTGAGCAATAATGTGGGATGTGAAATGTGTCGGCTTGTGTGGGAATGCCAGAGGAGCTTACCTAATATGTTTCCAGTGTTTACTTCTGTTCTTATGTCCTTGTCATCTTATTCAATTGTCCTGGGAGAGTTCATTAAGTCTAAGTGTCAATAGCTTTTAGGGTTAAGCATCCTCAGTACTCGTTCTCTTATCTGTTTAGTCCTGACCCCATAGATTACAGGGTTAAGGGCAGGGGGGACAACCACATACAGATTGGCCAACAGTATGTGGATGTAATGAGGGATGTTGTGACCAAAGCGGTGCGTCATGAAGGAAAAAAGGGCTGGCAGGTAGAAGGCCAGCATGACACAGACATGGGAGCCACACGTGCTCAGTGCCTTGAGTCGGGCATCCCAGGATGGCAAGTGGAAAACAGCTCGGAGGATACGGACATAGGAAAATCCAATCACAGAAAGATCGATGTATCCGACTGAAAAAGCAATCAAGCCGTAGATAACATTGACCTTAATACTGGCACAAGCTAACTTTGCCAAGCCCATGTGTTCACAATACGTATGGGGAATAATCCGGACACCACAGAAAGGCAATCTCAGGATGAGAAATATGAATGGAGTCACAAACACTAACGTTCTCACAATGATGACTATGCCCAGAATGGCTATCACCTTATTGGTGAGGATCATGCTGTACCTCAGAGGGTTGCAAATGGCAATATAGCGATCTATGGCCATGACTGTCAGCACCACAGACTCCAGGCCAGTGCATATATGGATGGTGTACATCTGTGTGATGCAGGCAGCAAACACAATCTCTTTGAGACTGAACCAGAAAATGCCCAGCATCTTGGGGATGGTGGCTGTGGACAAGCCCAGATCAGTACAGGCCAACATGGCCAAGAAGTAAAACATGGGTTGATGGAGGCTACGTTCAGTATAGATAACGAACAAGACAGTGATATTCCCAAGGAGGGCTATTAGATACACAGTGAAGAAAGGAAATCCAATCCAGATGTGGACATGTTCCAGGCCTGGGATTCCCATCAGAAAAAAAGAGGAGGGGTGGAATTGTGTATTGTTTGTATAAAACATGTTGATGAGAATTTCTTACAGGCAAACGTCTTCCTGGAGCTGTCTTGCTTCCACTGGGAGTCCCTTAGTCCTTTCATAGCATACTTCCTATTTCTTAGAAAAGTAGGAAGCCCATTGTTTAACTCCATAATGTAACAGGTGAAACCTGGAGAGACAGTATCAGGCACAGTTCAGGATGCACTCTCATTTTGAAATAGTTGCGAACTCATATAGAATACCATACAGAAAGATTCCCAGCAATACTATTCTATATTTCCCTTGTTTTTCATACCTTATTTCTCTAAGAAAGTACATATATACAGCATTAAATAGTAAATACTTTTGTTAATTTAATATATACTTAATAATCAGTATATAGAGAATAACCAAGACGAAGTGTCTTTGTGTATGTGTGTGCGTGTACACTCAGCCTTCAGCATTTACTTTTCGGTTT